TAAAAGATGCATTTATGAAGACAACTTCTATATAAACAGAGTCCAGTTCAAAGATAGAGGACACACAGGCTACATATGAAGTACACAAGCAACATACAAAGTTCACCTGAAACTCTCAAGCAAACTCATGATTATTTAATTACGATCGTATCATAATCTTCATACTTACGACCATTGTCATACAAAGGACGACGTCCKTGTTTGACTTCACTATTGCATTGACGATCTTAAGTGTCGTCTGTGGTTTTTTCTCTTGACATGGTTTTCTGCGTCACAAATTCTTGTATTTTATTTACTTTCTYGTGATCGATTATTGTCCTTCAAATGATACTATTTTTTAGTTGTTAAAGCTCCACAATGACCATAAATTATTTGTATAAAATAATATCTAGCATAAACAGTTATCTGATAAATAATATTACTAGGTTATTACAAAATAAGATATGTTGTTAAATTATCATAATGAAATACTAGAAAGGTACGCGCACAATGTAACGAGACATATCTTGATTTTAATGTTCCGTTTTAATTTTTTGGTCTCTGTCGATTTCATAATAAGGTTTTATGTGGTTTTGAACAAACACTAATGTTTTTTTGAATCAAATACAAAGTTGAATATATCATACAAATTTAAAAAAAATTTAAAAGTTCTCATTTTTCTGTGTGATTTCTTTAATTCAAAATTTTGTTATAATTTAATTTAGATTTAATAATAAACTGATTTATTTTTTGTTTAATAATATAATTTTTTATAAAGATAATAACTAAGTATTCTGYTARAACTCAATAMTTATCCTAATTATATTTTAGATTTTATATTTAAAATGAGAAGTTAATATATAATTTTTTATAAAGATAATAACTAAGTATTCTGTTAGAACTCAATACTTATCCTAATTATATTTTAGATTTTATATTTAAAATGAGAAGTTTATCTTGTATTTAGTTATATTTATCTACAGTTAGTTACACGAATCCAAACATGAAGCTTAATAAGTTGTATTTATGTACAATTTACTAGTAATCTTGAAATTTTTAAGTAATATGCATCAATAAGCAGTAYTTCATGTATAAAAGATGGTTTTACGARTTTTTATCAAATATTTTATAATATAATCAAGAACACTATGAAGAAGTAGAGAGAAAAARTCAATATCTTCAAAGTATAGTCAAACTCTCTATTACGTAAAAGAATTTTTACAATTAAGCATCCTACTCACAATTACAAGACTAACACCCTATTTATAGGGTCAAACAATAAAGCTGCCTTTCCACCTGGAATCTAGCCCTCATGGCCTCCCACACATGGCGAATCCTTACCAATAGGGATTTGCTTTGGATTAAATGGATCCATTCCTACAGGCTGAAAGATCGTAACTTCTAGAATGCCCCGATACGCAGTGATGTGGGTTGGGGCTGGAGGAAGATCCTTGGTATGAGGGAAAAGATAAGAGATTTCATTGTCTCCCAGATTGGTGATGACGCGTCCACGTCTTCCTGGTATGATAACTGGCACCCGGCTGGCCCCCTCTACCGGCATTTCTCCGCCCGTACTATTCTCAATTCTGATCTCTCTCTCTCTCTGCTTCTGTCAGAGATATTGTTTCCCAGGGCAATTGGACGTCTCCTCTCCTGAGGGACATTTCAAACCCTTCTATCCGTGTCTCTCCCCTCCCCGTTCTTTCTCCGACCACCCCTGATAAGCTCCTCTGGAGAGCTCGGGATGGTCGTCTCACTCCTTTCTCTGTTCGTGAGGTGTGGCTCTCCCTCCGTCCAAATGAGCCTGATGTCCCCTGGAATCATATTGTCTGGTTCTCCCAAAGCATCCCTAGACATGCCTTCATTCTGTGGGTTGCTCTCAAGCAGCGTCTCAAGACGCACGATAAACTTCGGTTCTGGGAGACCCATGCCGACCTGTCCTGTGCTTTCTGTCAGAACGGGCCTGATTCGCATTCGCGTCTTTTCTTTGAGTGCCCGTTCCCTAATCTGGTCTGGAATGGTTTAAAAGCCAAGCTGAACCTCAATGGTGTCCCGGATAACTGGGAAGATATTATCAGTATGTTCCAGCAAGTCACAAAAGGAAAGACTATTTGGTCTATCATTCGTCGCTTAGTGCTTGCTGGGACTGTCTACCACCTGTGGCAAGAAAGAAATAATCGTATCTTCAAAAGCAAGAGAAGATCGCATATTATGGTGGGTAAGACGATCACTGATGATGTCCGGTCCAGGCTCCTTAGCCTGACTTTTAAGCCCTCCCCTAACGTTGTCCGGGCTAGGCTTGACTGGAACCTCCCTTAGCCGTCTGTTTTCTTGTGTGATGTTTGTCTTTTTGGTGTGAGCTCCTCCGCTCTCCTGGTTTTCTCGGTGCGGTCTAGGGTGTGCCTTTTTTAGGCCCCTTCTCCTGCCCTTGTGGTGTCCCCCGTTGTTTCCCGGTCTTGGTTTGGCTGGGCCCTTCCCTTGTGGTTGGTTTCTTTCTCTCCCTCTCTCTCTCCCCTTCTCCCTTTCTTTCTTCTTCTCTCGCCCTCTTTTTGGGTCCTTTCCCTCTCTCTTCTTCTTCTCTCTCTCTTCTTCTCCTTCCTCTTTCCCTTCTCCTGTGTTTCTTTCTTCCTTCTTCTCCTCCGGGAGCCTTGGATTTTCTGGTGGATGTGGTTCGCCCCCACCCGAGCGCGTATTTGTTGTTTTGTGTTTAGTGTTTTGCCTGGAGGGGTCTCCCCCCCTCCCTATCAAAAACAATAAAACTCTAGTCAAAGTCAAACCATACAAACAAAGTCAAACATGATGTCTATTTTAATTATAGACAATAGTAACTTTTAAGACGAATACAATTTTACACTGACTTTCAGTCCTAACAGCATCAATAAACAGTTACAAAATTTTGAAAAAAAATATACCAATGTTAATATCAAATCAATTATTTAAAAGTTTTCATTTTTTATGTAATTTTTTTTATTTTTTTCTTATAATTTAATTTAAGTTTAATAATGAAATAATTTATTTTTGGTTTAATAATATAAYATTTTATAAAWATAATAATTAAGTATTTTGTTAGAACTCAATGATTATCCTAATTATATTTTAGATTTTTTATATTTAAAATGAGATGTTTATCATGTATTTAATTATRTTTATCTGTAGTTAGTTACACGAATTCAGATATGGAGTTTTAATAAGTTGTACTTACGAATAATATACTTGTAATCTTGAGTTTTAAGCAATATGCATTAATAAACAATAGTTTACGCATAAAAAGTGGTTTTTAAAGAGTTTTTGTCAAATGTTTTATAATATAGTATAGATAATAATCGATAACAACTTATTAAATCTTAAATTATCAAAAAATTATTTATAAAGAGGTAGTTGGTGCATTTTGCAATAATATAAAGGTGMAAAACTTTAGTCAATAGAATATTTAATCAAAGTTTAACATGATTGTAATTTTCYTTTTTATGAAAATCCAGGTTTTCAATTTATTTTAACTTTTTTGTTGTGAAAAAATTAACGGATTTCAAGTTTAGAAGAAAAACTCTATCTTTATGATATTCCGATCCACACCTTAGGTCGGTACTCAGGCTCCTAGACATTCCTACGGCAATGACTATTGACCGAGTCAAAGGAGTTAGGAAAGAAACGAGGCCTACATAAATCAAGCGTATCATTATTGGATAATTATTTTATTATGTATCTGATATTTGATATATTAAGTCTATGTAAAATTGTATATTATTTGTATCCCAACTAAGGCCATACATGTTTGATAACTATAAATTATTTTACTTTTTGTGAATATTAAAAAAAATTATTTGGTTAATTATAAGTTAGTCGAAAAGTCATTTCAAGTAGCGTTTTTAATAAGCTTCAAGAGCATATTGTTATTTCTTTTTCCAATTTTATATACTTAATATATTTTCCTAAATAATTTTTAAACATGTCATTTTAGATCATTTTGTATTGAATTTTAACTTATCAATTAGGTTTTTTTTAATAAAAACATGATTATTTTATGAGTTAACATTTAATTGTTAGCTGACACAACCATCTTATTAGTCAACAACTAATATTTCAGCTAGTTTATCAAAATTATAACCTAAATTATTATAATTTTATAACCATTTTGTGGGCTAATTTTATTAATTATTTTTATAAAATAAAATGTTTAATATTTAATTATGCGATGTTGATGGTAGCTTAATAACTTTGCTATTTCGTAACGGCTAATAGTGATGTTTCATCGCTCCTTTAGAAACTTGGAAAGTTGACAACCCAACTAATGAGTTGTTGGCCATGCCTTACTTACCGGTTACCACCCATTATTCTTATTTCTATATTTACCATTCTACCCCTTCCCTTTTCATTGACCAAAAAGAGAAGGAAAATATATAATAACAAGATTTAAATGAAAAATTAATACAATCTTTTATTAAAAAAATTCGTAAATTCATGTATTATTAATTCTTAGTAAAAGGTTTTAACCCTTATTCCATATTTTAAATTTTTTAAAAATCATGAATTAAAGGTTTTAAATTATAGTGTATATATATTACATTCAGTTATAATCAAATTAGCTTGTCACAAGTCATTAATGATCGTGAGAAATACCCACGTTCCTTCGTCAAACTCTTTTTTCCCTAGTTCAACTTGGTCGCTAATGTCAAATTCCAATGCTAACCGTCACATAATTAATAAAAACCGGTTTTTCCAAAAAAAAAAAATGAAGGGTGATATCGGAATTTTACAAAAGCCCTAGGACATATCACTTGAAAACCAACTACATATTGCAAATCGGCAATTCAAGAAAATAGCTCATCTTGTCTCGCCCTTTTTGTCTCTATGATTAAAAAAGACCCCAAACAATCAAAGATGGACACTTGTTAATTTCTTTGATTGAAATTCAATTCTGATCTTCTTTCTCCAACTCCTTTATATTAATCTCATGATCATATATTTGGAAAAATTCATTGCAGTTTTGGAGCCATTTTTCTCTTTGAATTCTAAGAAATAAAATGTGGAAGGTCACCCCTTCTAAATCTTTGGTCATTAGGATCAATCTTGTTTTCCTATCTTGCTTTCTTGTAATTTATGCCACCCTCCTTCTCCGGCCATCGACCAACATGTACCACCAGAATGCGACGGCGTACGTCCGTTGTTCCCTCCGTGACTGTCATCACAAGGTAATGTGAGCCGCCTCCCATGGCTGCCGGAGGACGTTCTTTGTTATCCGGCCGGCGAGTTTTAACTAATGATCATGTGTTAAATATTTGGTTGTTTGTATATGTTATTAGGTGGAAACTGGGTCCAAGATGAAAGCAGTACTGTTGGAAGATGCAGTAGAGTTGAAGGAAAATGGTGGAAGGAAAATGGTGAGGAGAGAGAGGCCAAGTTTCTTGAATGGAAGTGGTTTTATGGGAAGAGGGATGAAGATGGGGATGGTGAATATGGCCGGAGAGGATTTAAGCGACTGGAATGTCGTCGGAAAAATAATTCCGGTGACGTTTGAAAAGGTTTCAGATTACTTCGAATGGAAAGACTTGTTTCCTGAATGGATTGACGAAGAAGAAGAGATGCATGGAACATTGTGTCCAGAGATTCCAATGCCGGATTACAAGAAATATGGGTATTTGGATATGATAGTGGTGAAGATACCATGCAAGTTTCCGGCGGAAGGGTGGGGGAGAGATGTTTTCCGGCTGCAACTGCACCTAATGGCGGCGAATTTGGCGGTTAGGAGAGGGAGGAGGAGCTGGAATAGGAGGCCAAAAGTGGTGGTTTTGAGTAAGTGCAGGCCAATGGTGGAGATTTTCCGGTGTGACGATTTGGTGGTGCACGACGGCGATTGGTGGTACTATGAGCCGGATATGAAAAGATTGGAGCAGAAGGTGTATTTGCCGGTTGGCACTTGTAATTTGGCTTTGCCTCTTTGGGAAAAAGGTACTCTCTTTTTTATTTATTTTTAAAATAAAGAAGAACCCGTAACCAATACGTTGTCAAATACGCTTAATATCATCTTTCTTTTCCGATTTCATGTTTTACAAGAAATAGTATGGTCGTGCAAGGGGGTCACAACTATTTTTTGTCGTAAAACAACAATAAATAAATGTTATTTTAAGTTCATGTAATTAATTAAGAGATATATATATACACGTGTGATACAAGAATCGTAATGTAGTCAAGGATTATAACACATATACATATTCACACACATAAACGTAGATTAGATAGAATGAACGCAATATTTATGATAAAATGATGAACATAAACTGTTACGACATTAATTTGTAATGAATAAAGATTACACTATTTTCGTTGGTCCTTGGGTTTTACAAGAAAAGTGAGGCCGGTTCGCCAACCAAAACTAACCATATATAAATAAATGTAAAGGATATGGTAGAGAGTTGGTATCACTTGTTTAGGGTAGTTGAGAGACTATGGCAAAGGTACATGACTTGTCAAAGTTTGGTCACAAGTCAATTACCAATGTGTGTGAGATCAGCCTCTTTCTCTTTTTCTTGTTCGTAACCAAACGTAAGACCACATAAATAACATTAAACTTTTATGTTATTTTTTGTTTTGAAGATTTGGTGTTTTTCGTCCCTCAAAATGCTATTTTGTAGTCTCACGAAAATATGCCGATGATCAGGTTAATTAATTGAAGTTAAATAACCTGTCCTAAATTTATTTTAATTTTTACTGAAGAATAAATTATTAAAATAAACAAATTAGATTATATAATTTTAGTTTGAAATTTAAATAAACATTTTCACATTTATTTATTTATTTATTTTTCTCAGGGATTGATGAGGTGTACGATGTAAAAAAGATCCAAAAACCCCACCCCAGGAGTCAGTCAAGGAAACGGCAAGCTTATGCCACCGTCCTCCACTCGTCGGAAAGATACGTCTGCGGTGCCATCATGTTAGCCCAAACCCTCCTCAAAACAGGCACCAAACACGACCTCATCCTCCTAATCGACACCTCCATCTCCCTCGCTAAACGCCACGCCTTGGCCGCCGCTGGTTGGACCGTCCGAATCATCGAACGAATCCGTAACCCACGCGCCGAGAACAACTCCTACAACGAATACAACTACAGCAAGTTCCGGCTATGGCAGCTCACCGATTACGACAAGATCATCTTCATCGATTCCGACATCATTGTCCTCCGCAACCTTGATATCATCTTCACATTCCCACAAATGTCCGCCGTCGGCAACGACAACTCCATTTTCAACTCCGGCATTATGGTCATCGAGCCGTCCAACTGTACTTTCAAGCATTTCATGGAACAAACGAACGAAATCGTCTCCTATAACGGCGGCGATCAAGGATTTTTGAACGAGATCTTCGTTTACTGGCATAGATTACCGAGAAGGGTTAACTTTTTGAAGAATTTCTGGTCAAATACCACTGTCGAATCCAGCATGAAGAACCAATTGTTCGGTGCCGATCCACCAAAGCTTTACGCGATTCATTATTTGGGTCTGAAACCATGGTTGTGTTACAGGGATTACGATTGTAACTGGGATATTGGAGATCAACGAGTGTATGCTAGTGACGTGGCACATGGGACATGGTGGAAGCATCATGACGCCATTGATGAGAGCTTGCAGGGCCACTGTAAGTTGACGGAGAAAAGGAAGATAGAGTTAAAGTGGGATCGAATGCAGGCTAAGAAAATAGGGTTTCCCGACGAGCATTGGAGGATCAATGTGACGGATCCGAGGCGCCGGGGTTGACACTGATGGATCAATTCGATCAATCGAGTTTGTTGAAGATCATTTCGTTAATTACTTATGTTGATTCTTGGTTTTGGTTATAATTTTGGTGAGGACGTTCGAAGTATCATCTGCCATAGTGATTCAGCTTGATGTACATAAGGAAGGATTTATGTATACTTAACAACTGTATGGAGATAAAAATATTTGTATAAAAAGTCGTATTTAGTAATTGGTTCGATGAACATTATAATTCACTATCAGTACGTGGTAGATCGAGAAACTCATGTGACAAGACAGTATCAAAAAATTCGAAAGTTGTATAATTAGCCATTTGACACTTAAGCTTTCGGGTTATTCGGAAATGGTCCGTATGACACCATGCATTAACGATAACGAAAACACATAAATTTGACGAAATTAACAAGCATTTCAAAAGAAACGCAAGACATCTAAACATCTTAATTTGTAGATTTCTTGATTGTATTTTGTTTTCCCTCTTAATTGGGATGGTATGACCTACGTAGGCTTCGATTTCTTGTTTTTCTGTGTGGCAGCTAGTAATATATATATATATATATATATATCTATACTACATATATAAGCATTTAGACCAATGTCTTAATTACAAGATTTTAAGCACAAGTTACAACCATTTTATGCAAGAATTTCAAAAATCTCTTAATTACAACTTATAAAGCATGATGTACAAGTTGTTTATGCAAGAAAATGCTTCAGACTTGATAGGAATGCTTAAGACCTAACCAGAATGCTTCAGACCATCGTTTTAGCTTACAGACTTGTAAAATCCCTTTTCTGTGTCTATTCTCAAGCGCCAAAAACAAAACCGGAATGCTTCAGACCATC